CTGGGCCTAAGGTGGCCCTTAAGTATCTGTCTCCAACTTCAAGTGGACCAACTCCCTCCAATGTGAGAGGGAGCGTCAACAGTCATCTCCCTCAGGGACCCAGGGCGCCCCTCTGCTTTAAGCTTGCTCAGGGTAGCTAGTCCCTCCCTCTGTGATCTTTCATTTTGGAGGGGGGTTCCAAGTTATCCCCTAAAGAGGAGCCCTTCAGCAGAAGCATGGTAAACATATTCTGTGCCATGATAGATGCTCTTCTATCATGTGATCAGGCCCGCAGTGGATCAGGCCTGATGATTGTGAGTTGTCGTAGGCTAAAGATGCAGGGCTCTGTTGTGCAAGGGCAGCTGGGGACTCCTCCATTCTTTTTAATTAAATGGAAATCTTTATGCATTCCAGGGCAAGGTTATATCCAGATGCATGGACTTTATTTTGCACTGATAACATTAATTATGATCTTTCAAAAATCCATGTACAAATCATAAACTTTTATAACCCAAGCCTGACCAATTACTGCTGGCATCCTCTTCATTTCAAATTTGAATATTTTTAATAATGTCTTTGCTAATGCAAATTCCTCAAATGTTTAAATGTGAAAGCATGATTTATTACACTCATTTATTCATTTTTATGAATGGCCAAAAAACAAACACCTCAAACCATGAGGGAGTTCTTCTCTCGGTCTAATGGAATGATTCTATTGATCATGACTCTACATTACATCCTTTGTATTCTAATAACATTTCCAGTCTCCTGTTAATTTCACCTTTGCCTCCAGGTTTTTGGTGTGGCTTTGGTCAAAATAAGCAACAGGTCCTCTCTGTTGGAAGGAAAGTGCATTAATAGATTAAATCATCTTTTCAACTTTGCTTAAACTAAAGAAAATGACCACCAGTATTTAAAGTAGATAATCTAAAAGTAGAATTTCTTTTCGAGTTCAGTTCATAAGATTTGCAAAGCTCAGCCCTGGCCTAGTCCTTAAGCAAGGACAAAAGTCTGGCATATGTAACAGATCTGCAGGGGCAGCAGCTGCGGATTCCCAAGGTATTACCTCCTGACCACAACCAGAGCATTGCACTCTCTTGAAGGAGAAAGCTGTGTATGCCTCAAAGCCAGTCTCGCCCCACTGTTTCCGGTGCTAAAATCAGATCCAACTGGCAGTCCAGCCTCTATATGAAATGAAGGGGTGCCATTTGTCCCTGCTTTCTGCCAGGAGAAAGTTACAGGCAGTCCCTGCCTGTAAAAACTTTGCCTAGACTCTAAAGCAATGCAAGCTTTGTCTAGGTTCATTTAGTCTTACCATCTATATCTTGCCTTTCTGACAGGGGCATTGAAGTCTATTGCTATAATTCATTTATATGTTAATTAGAGCAATATACACACGCGATTCCATATTACCCTTTCTTCATCATTTTAGTGCTTGTAACTGTTATAAATTGCTTTGTGGGTACTTAAAAACTGATTAAAATAAAATAAACAGGTGAGAGAATGAGTGCTCACTGAAAAGGTTATAGTGGATGGATCTGGAGCGAGAATAAGTTCACCTGCCTGATAGGTCGCAGCCCCCACCTCTTACAAACAGGTGAGTGGACTGCAGCAGCAAGGGCACCTGAAGGTTGGATCTCTCTACCGCTTTCTCAAAAAAGCTAGACTTTCTCCAGTAAGAACAAGGAGGGGAAACAGCCCTGGGAAAACAGAGGAGGACCGCAAATAGGTACCAGCTTCACTTGGGCTTTGTCAGACAATGAATGACTCATGGTGATTTTCAATCAATTTTGATCTGGAAGCAACTGAGATATTAATCATCCAGGCTCTTTTGTGTAAAACAAAAGTGCTGGAACACATTCAAGTAAAGGGCCCAATTCTATCTTAGATACATTCTTGGGGCAGCATTCTGATGGTGGGCAGAGCTGAAGTGAGAAAGGGGAGCTTGCAGCTCTTTCCTCTGGTAACTCAACCTTAGGAGAGGCTACATAGTCTTTTAGAATGCGGTGGAGGGAATTGTGTACAAAGGCCAAGAAGACAGCAAACAATGGGTGGTTATAGGAAAGGGGGTGAAGATAGGGGCAGAGGTGTGGCCTTCCAGGAACTCCCAGAAGCCCACATTTTACCTGCAGGTCTCAGGCCTTGCACCTCCACTTTAAAAGCATGCTCAGAAATAAAGAAAAACAACCTGTTTCATTCTGTTTACAGCAAACGAATAATGCAAGTTTATTGCCGAACGCTGGTATCAGGCTGGAAGCTGAACAGACCTTTTGTCCAGAGCTGATTTGATTTAGTTGCCAAATTTAACTTAATTGGTTTAGATACTTATTTGTTTTAAGGCATGTAGTCCCTAGACTGAGTGTGGATGCTGTTAATATTAATTAGCTAGGAAACATCTTGCTAAAGGAAATCCAATTCAAGCTTCACGAACCATTTCCGTGTGCCCCCACTGAAGCAATGTCCATGTGCTCTCCTACCAAGTGGCCTTGAACTGTACCATCGCCTCTCTGAATCATGCGGCCACAAAAAGCAAAGGTATAAAAGCGACTACAAAAACTTGTCCGTCAGGCTTGCTTGTCAAACCTGCTGGGAGATTAGTGCTTATTTGGTACAGACTGTATCTCATCCTGCTGCCCACTGTTATGCAAGTGATGTGTCATGAGACATCAACTTTCAACATGCTTCATCTGAGCAGTAACAGCAGGGGTGGGTAGGAGCTTTTCTTTTCATACAAACAAAATTAAATAATAACTCCATTTGTTTTCACTATTAAACACCTAATCTGTTTTAGGTAAATTCTCATTCACTTGCATTTGCTTTTGATTCTCCGTTTCCTGCCCCTTTTTCGAGTGCTTGAATTGCTCCTTGATTTGCTTCATTTTGGTTCTTTATTCAACTTAGCAGAAGCAGCGGTGATTTCAGATGCTCGATGAAAATGTCAACCCATTGTGTGGCTGCTGGGTTTGAAAAAGGCAAACTGCATGTTAGGCATAATCGGGAAAGGAACTGAAAATAGAATTGCCAAGTTCATGCTATCCTTATGAACATCTGTGGTAAAACCACACTTAGAATGTTGTGTATAGTTTTGGCAACAACACTAATGAAGGATATTGTAGCACTGGAAAAAGTGAAGAAAAGGACAAATAAAATGATCGAGGAGGAGGAACTCCCCTGTGAGGAAGGAGAGAGAGTCTTACTTAGGAGAAAGGCAATGGATAGATGCATCATGCATGGTGTGGAGAAATCAGATAGGGAGAAATCTCTCTCTCTGATCATTGTAGAAGTCAGTGGGGTCATTCCATGAAGCTGATTAGTGGGAGATTCAGGATAGACAAAAATAAGTACCTCTTTACACAGCTCCTAGTTGAACAATGGAATTCATTGCTCAAATATGTACTACCATATTTATGCAACCTTGAGAAGCTGTGGCCACTAACATCAGCATGCCAATGGATGGAAGTTGCTTTCAAAACTCACATCCGATCAGACTGAGTTGTGGTTGTTTCAAGCCTGGCTGCCTTGGACTGCTGTGAAAAGTATCCATAGTTTTCATTTCACATGCTCCGTTTGGGTCTGTTGGTGAGATACTTTCAAAAACACTTGGGGTGCAACCCTTTGTGTGTTTAGGCAGAACAAACCACCTTTGGCTCCCTGCTTGGTTGGCTGGAGCATGCTGGCAGTTTAAGTCCCTTTTTGTCTGTCTATATATGCCTAGGATTATGTCCTTAGGACATCTATATATAGTACCACTTTGAGGGATGAGATACATGCATCCTGTTTGCAAAGAAACCAAGGTCAGGAGACATGAGCTAGCACTGAAACATAGAAACAGAGTGAATCAGAAGCAGCCTCCCAGGCCATCTAGTTTGACCCCTGGCTCCAGCCGGTTCTGCTCACGACTTGCCCACCATGGGCATGTCTAGCCTATCCTTGAACATTCTCACCAATGGGGCCTCAACCACCTCCCATGGAAGCCCATTCCTAACTGTCCCTCGGTGTCCTAACTGTGAGGAAGAGCTTCCTGGCATCCAAATTGAACCTTGGCTCCCTGAGCTTCACTCCGTTGGAGCACATCCTGCTCTCCTCTGCAGGGGAGAACAGGTCCCTACCCACCTCTGTGTGACATCCCCTCACATATCTGTATGTCACCAACAGATCCCCCTCTGAGTCTCCTCCAGACTGAGAAGGCCCGTTGCTCCCCTCTGCCCCTCCAGCCCCACAGACAGGTGAGTTGATAAGGCAGAGCACATGGTCCACAACTATGACTAATTATATATGTAGTAATCTTATGCTACAGATCTTGAACACATGTGTTGCTCTTGTTTTTTAATTGTTCATTAAATCTCTGCCTAAGGTAGAATAGATACCCTGAAGCCAGAAAAAAATCAGGTAAACGATTTCTGTTATTTATTGTCTGCACACTGTTCCACACAGTTCCATCCTTTAGTTGATTTTGAATCTATTATTTATTTATTTAAAAATTTCTATGCTATCCATTGCTTTAAAAGTCTCCTATGAAAGGAACAAGATGGAAGATGGATGGGAGGATGGGATGGGAGGATGCAGTTAAATCCAAATGAGATTTTTTTCACTAACATGGGACATTTGTATGCATATACAAATTCACTTTTTCTTAATTCTTTGGTAATATAAAGCTGTGAGGAGAGATTGTTGAAATGAATATCTGCATTTGTGGCTCCTGAAGTTTCAATAAACATCAGACTGGATTCTTTTACGTGCCTTGAGTATTATGCTAGCTCTGTGCCAAAATTGACAGTAGTTTAAATCCGTATCCAATCGTTTTTCAAACATTTTACCCTGGGGTAAGCATAGGATGTCCAGCATCTTAAGAAAAACCCCTAAACCCCACATGGAAGTCCTACTGCAGACTGAATCTACTGTGTCGATAAAACTGAAGAGGAAAAAAGACGCTGCTCGGTACAGAATTTAAATAGTTTCTGTTTTGGCCCCAGGAGGAGATTCTGATTAACGGCTTTCATTTTTCCTCTGTCCCTTAACAGATGAGGATAGGAATTCACTCAGGATCTGTTCTGGCTGGAGTTGTGGGAGTGAGGATGCCACGGTACTGTCTCTTTGGCAACAACGTCACCCTAGCAAGCAAATTTGAGTCGGGAAGCCATCCACGCCGTATCAATGTCAGCCCAACTACATACCAGTAAGTGCTCAGCAGTCTTTCTTAGCTTATTGCTTGAACATGCACCTTATTTTTAAAAGAAAAATGTAGGTTTATTTCTAAATATACAGTCACAGACAACTATAACATTAAGTGATAGAAAATGTTGAATGAAGGGTAAGTGAAACTATTAACTAGGTAATGCCTTTATACCCATCTTCCTTAAAGGGGTGCCTTCTGGGTGTGACGGAATACAGCTTCCATCATCCCCAGACATTGGACATGTTAGCTGGGAATGATATGAATTGTAGTCCAATAACATTTGCAAAATACTAGGCTGGGGAAAGCTGCTTTAGGGTGCCTAATTAAATGGCTGAGCTTTTCTTTGGTGATCCAATGCCATGTGTGTCAGTACCAGATGGATTTTGTAGGATTTTTGTTCTGTGATGCTGAGCGAGCACTAAACATCTTGTAGCGACCAAATGGATTAGTAGATCCTTTTGAAAAAGCTGTTATAATGAGTCTAGAAGGAGGTATCTCCAGTCTGTACGTTAATTGTTAAATTTATGGATTTATTTGGAGTAAGATTCCTCCAAGAAACACTTTACTTCAAATGGGATTCTTGTGACTTTGTACTGACCAATGCACATATATCTGAGAAGTGTTTTCCAAAATCATATATGCACCATGCAGTTATCAGGGCTTCGTTCCAGGGCACTGGGGATGTCTACTTAAATACTAAAGTGTGGCAAACACCCCTCCGTAATTGCAACCCCATCGATAATTCCTAACTTGGTAAGGCTATGAAGGTCAGTCAGGGCCTTTCAGACCTGGTTAGCAAGCACCTCGGGCCATGTGCATGATCTGGTTCTTCAGGAACAAGGCCAGTCCAGGAGCAGTCCTAAAGGACAGACTTGGTCCTTCAAAGGGAGTACAAGACCTTGGGACATCGGCCATGCCATCAAGCCCAGTTCAGTTCTCCAACTGACTTAAAGCATTTTCATCTTGTCTGGATTAAAGCTCAGCTTATTAGCTCATAGTCAATTCATCACTGTACAGAAACAATGGCATGCACACTCATTCTTCCTTGGCATTAGAAGAAAGAAAAGAAGACTTTCATTTGTGCATTGATGATATGCAACACTGAGTCCCCAGACAACATCTCCAAAGGGTTTGGGTAAATATTAAATATCAGAGAAGACAACCCTGCAGAATCCCATAAACCAAAGTTAGAGCTGATCAGCAACCCCTCTAGCACTCATCGATGGAGGGTACCATATTTCTGGGAGTGGAGAGGGTTAAAGCTTATTTCGTCTTGGTCCAGATTATTTTTAGTACGCAAAATTCAACCTTGATGAGAGCCTCCATGCACTGAACATCTTGGTGAGAAAACGGGTATTGCTTTGTCTTGTCTTTTTCCCCTGCAATGATTTTGGAGCATGTGGCTTTTTCATGCTTTAGCAGTATTCTCTCATTCATGTACCTTCCCTTCTTAGCATTTCCAAGCATCCCTGTGTTTATGCTTCCTTGTAAGCTTCTGGGTAAATTAAAGCTTCTGTAATTTTCTTCACTCAGGACCTAAAGTGAAAGCGTCTGCAATTTTCTCCATGCAGGACCTGAAGTGCCTGATAGGATAGAATACAAAGCAGCTGAAGTTTTTAGAAGTGATTAAAAAGAGGCAAAAGAAATGAAGCTTACACCCTTGAGATAAAATTATGCAACTAGAGGGGAAACACACTGGCTTGAACAAGAGGCAGGGATGTTGAGCAGGAATTTGAGAGCAAAATAGGCAGGGTGGCCCATGATGGATGAAAGGTGGTAGAAAGAGACTGGGGAATATAAAATAGCTTGGGGTGCATTTGGTAGGAAATAGACCCACTCTCTACACATGCGATTGTCACAGCCTCTGTAGTATCAGCCAAAAACATTTCTGAGAATTGCAATGGCTCCCCTACTGCAATTCTGACATGGGTCATCTTGTTGTCTATGCTTTTTTGTTATTGTTGCCTTGATGTTCACTCTGCCCATGTAAAGCGGATTCTGTGGCAGATTTGTAGAAATTAGAATCTGACTCATGCTACTGGGATGTGAATTGCAACATGCAGGTAATTATTTTAACTCTAGCTGTTGCTCAGTTACAGAAATCTGACAGACCTGAGCCTATTCATGTCTACACAGCTTTGATGACTTGAATGGCACTTGCTCCCAGAAAAGTTATTTTATTTTATTTTATTTTATTTTATTTTATTTTATTTTATCTTATTTAAAACATGTCTATGCCGCCCCCATCACAACAAAGCCTCGGGGCGGCTCACAAAAAATACATAAACAATAACAATATAACAATTTAAAAGAAAAAAAAATTAAAACCCCCGGTGCATTCTCGGCTAATTTAAAATCCTAATAAATACAATAATTTAGCAATTAAAATAAGTTTTAAATAAAAAGGTCTTAGCCTGGAGCCGAAAAACAAATAATGACGGCGCCAGGTGGACCTCTCTGGGGAGCGCATTCCATAGATGGGGCGCCACCGCAGAGAAAGCCCTCCTCCAGGTACTCACCCTCCTAATATCATTCACAGAGGGTTCCCGGAGAAGGGCATCCATTGCTGATCTTAAGGGGCAGGAGGGCATATATGGGCGCAAGTGTTCCTTTAGATATCCAGGTCCCAAGCCGTTTAGGGCTTTATAGGTCATAACCAACACCTTGAATTGGGCCCGGACTTCAATCGGGAGCCAGTGGAGCTGACAGAGAACTGGGGTTATATGAGAACAACGCCCAGTCCCTGTCAGCAACCTGGCAGCTCTATTCTGCACCAATTGAAGTATTTGGACCGTCTTCAAGGGTAGCCCCACGTAGAGCGCATTACAGAAATCTAATCGGGAAGTTACCAGTGCGTGTGTCACTGTCGCCAGGCAGTCGTTCTCCAGGAAGGGACGCAGCTGATGTATCAGCCGAAGCTGAAGGAAGGTGCTTCTCACCACCGCCGTCACCTGAGCTTCTAAAGACAGCTCTGGGTCGAGGAGCACTCCCAAGCTGCGAACCCTGTCCCTCAGAGGGAGTGCAACCCCATTTAGGACAAGGCCCAAGTCCCCCATCCCGAGGCCCGAGCCACCCACCAACAGGACCTCTGTCTTGTCTGGATTGAGCTTCAGTTTATTGGCCCTCATCCAGCCCATTACCTCGGCCAGGCACTGGTTCAACACAGCCACTGCCTCACCTGGATTAGATGTAAATGAGATGTAGAGCTGGGTATGCTTAAGATTGCAGTCTTAATCAATTCAGCAGAAGCTATCCTGAGATCCTTTGATGGAAGATTGCAGGGACTGTATCTGGAGGATTGTGCATACAAACCTGATGAACTCTGGGTCCCACCCCCAGGTTTTTAGTTCTACAGCCCCCCCTGCTTTCCTCCCACAATAAAGCAATAATATTTTGATTAGCAAGCAAGATCACCAACCCACTGAAACTAGCAGCTAGCCAAAATGTGTTCATTTTTTCCTCTATAAATAATTTTGCCCATGACACAGATTCTATCTGGCAGTTGTGCTCCTTTTCCCATTGTGAAGGTCCAGCATTTTGAACTAACAATCAGAGGGCAAAGTTTAAAAAAAAAATCTTTATTTTTATTTTTGAGGAGATACATGGCAGTTTTGATTAAAGCCCCCAGACACTGAAAATATGAACCTGACTTCAGCAATAGCACTTTTTTACAGAGAGGAAAGTGTTTCCACACACAATTATCCACTATCCCAACAGTTTCTAATGTTCCTTCTCATCTGTGAAGATAAGAGCATTTGGCTGTAAAGGGGAACACATAATGTGGATCTGGGGCTGTAGTTCAGTGATGGAACACAGGCTTGGCATGAAGAAGGTCCCTGGTTCAAATCCCATCTTCTCTAGTTAGGGCTAAAAAAATCTTTTCCAGGTGTGGAAGAAAAAGAAATCAGTCTGCTTTTAGGTTTATCCATGGGTTGGTTTACTAAAGCATTCACATCAGCAATTTCAAGAGAAAGAGCTGAAGCTTCTGGATTATCCCCTGACTGCAAAATCTGTCTGCTCCTGGTGCCTCTTGCATTTATAATGTTCTTTGGTTACACAGAGACAAATACAAACCTATCCAATTAATATGCATGCAAATTACAACACTCACAGATGCACCAGTTGGCACACACTTATCTGCTTGCTTTGATGTTGATTCACAACAGACACAGACTCCATCTTGCATCAAAACAAAATGTGAAATGAAACAAATGCAGGCTACTTCACTGGAAATCACAGATAGGTGTGATTTACTACATCTTGAGTCTTCTCGAGGATGTGTACTAACTGCCCTCTCAACACATACTTGTAACCTGGTTTCTCCCCAAGCCTAACTGGCCAGAAAAATATTCAAAGCCTGAATATTTCCCATTTCTACTCAGAGGAGCTCCTTCTGGTCAGTTTCAGCCCAAGGGAGCCCTTGTCTGACTCCGTATAAGGAAGTTTCAACTGACCCAAGCCTGACCCATGTAATCATGGCCCACATGACTCACAGAAGACCACAGTAGCGTTTTCTGGTCCTTTTATTACCTCAACTGTGCTAGAGCCTTCAAGAATGAAATTGGGTATCAAAGCAGAGAATGGATGCAACTGATCGATTGATTTCTAACCCACCCCATTAGCCCCATAGGAGTTTGGGGAGATTTGCATTCCCACCCCACATGATATCACCACTCCCATTAAACCCCTTCATAAAACTTATCTCTTCTGCTTGACCCTTGTTTGTTCTTGCGTTCCCCAGCCACAGAAGCCCTTTTAAACTGCTTGCATCCTCCATGTGTGTAGTCCATGCATTGACAGGTGAGGGGGTGACTCTTGCGAGCCCCACTCTGACATCATGTGACCGAACCCTGGCAGCACCCTGAAAGCATTTCTGCAGACTAAATGCAGCCACCTGAGGACTGCAAACGTGCCAGTGTATCCAGATAACAACATGCAATTGCTAAGAGTGCTTTTCTTCCAAAATACATACTTGTAGGAGCAGCAAGTTTTAGGATCAG